TCGACTCATCGACAGGGGAATAAATGCCCGACCAGATGGCAGAAGTAGTTAGTAACAGTCGAGTATACAGACACAGTCAAACCAGTGGACAACGAAGACGACAACCCAATTATCAAAGTAGTGCTATAAGCTTTTGGTAAAAGAACCTTTCAGTCATAAAAGCTCTCTGTTGTTGTTGCCTGAACACCAAAATACTGGCTTAATGTTGGGTGGAATGCAAATTTGCTTTCTGCAAATTTTTAACTGCCGCATAAACGTCTATACAACTATTATATACGGTATATTTGCACGGTACTCAAAATGGTTGTGTTGTGGCATCCATGGTAACGTTTATAAAACAAATCCGAGCCTTGTTGTTTTGCTGCTCAAATTTACTACTTTAGCCAACAAATTGTTCCCAACGGAAGCACTTATACAACTGTTGTTTAGTAACTGTTAAAGGCTGTACATATGCAACAATATTACAACTTTTGTAGTACAAAACTGCTGTGATCGGCATACATTTGTTGCTAAACATGTTGGTATACGACTTCACCATAACCTAACTTTCTGCTGTCATATTTTCGTTAAAATGCCATAACCAATGTTTTAAGACAAACAACGCATGCATATTGGTTCAAAAGGTTTTATCAACTGTTCAAGGGGAAGATATAGATCTGGTATGAATTTTGGGTGAATCATTCGACTCTGTCGGTATTTTATATCATACATTTGTCAAATTGTTGTATAACACCTGCAGGCAACACCAAAATATTCTAATAAACCAAAGACAACATCATGGACGATGCTATGATTATACATAACCACCCGCCATATTGGGCAAACATTTATTACTGTATTTGATATTAAATAATTATGTTTCAGTTCGAAATTACAGATACTTATAAAGTGATAAACATTAGTATAATTGTATCTAAATAAAGGATTAGTGGAAGATTTAACGCAGATAAGTTCAGTTTTCCATCTTAAAAATCTAGACATACTTTGGATCATTATTGAAATATTAAAAAAATACGAAGCCCGTAGAAATTAAGTAACTATATATACTTTGCACGATAATCAAAAATTTGTGGCGCAAGTAATTCAATAGCCCTATATCACAGTGTAGAAGTTTATCATATAGCTGTGTATGAAATTCAAAATGGCCGATATCTAATTAAAAATGAATAATGTGTTAGTTATATATTCTTCACTTCGTCTATACAATACATAAGAAATAGTTTGGTTGCAATAAAATAGAATCACGTAACAGAATAGTTGTATAGTTGACAAACACTGAATATTGCACTGACGCAAACGTCTTATAGCGGGTGGAAGAGGCTTACACTTTTGTTGTATAACTGTTACCTGCAGCCCTTATACAACCTCTTAAATGACTGAAGTGTGTCCTATTAGGTGTGCCCGTTCCGCTTCCATAGTTGTTCTAAGAGGGTTTTGCCAATGTTCTTGCAATATACAATGCGCTGTAAGGAATACTGTATAATCATTCTTGCAACTCTAATAGGAGTGACAATTGTTAGTTGGGAATAATATGGCATAATACTTCAGTCGATATACTTCTAAATTTGTTACGAATAAGCTGCAGTGTTTGTTAAACATCTGGCACACAATATGCGCAGTTTGCTTATTTTGTAGATCACTATTAAAAGATTTTTGCTTGATTGCTTCAGGGCGTTTCAGCTATTTTCATGCCTGTTTCGTGATATGTGGAGGATGTAGCTAGCAATTTCACAATGACAATTACATAAACCTACTTTCTAGTCGGTTTTGCCCTACAAACGAGAAAACACGCACACTCAAGGGTACACAATGTGCAGGAATTCATCTTATTATAAGCACGGATCCTATTTTCATTAAAATCCGTTGTTCGTAAAGGCGGTGCCATTCAATTTGAAGTTTTCGACTACCTGCCTGCGTTTGTTTAAGGAAGCTCCCTTCACAATGGCCAGGGGCGTCGAAAAGAATTTCTAAACGCATGGCAAGTCTCTGGAAATGAAAACTTTGCTCTCCCTATGATACACCTCATTTAGACTGACAATTAATTGAGACCACATGTATTGATAGCAATTAAGCCAAATATTTTATTTTTGCCACAATTTGAATGAACGAAGTAAATATATGGAAAAATAAGGTGAAAATATGATTGGACGATAGTGCAACATATAATTCCTTGATTCTTCTCTCCTGTTTCTTAAACTGAGCTTTTTTCAAATATTAGAATCTAAAAACTTAATAGATCTTAAAATTTGAAATTTGCTAGAGTACCATCAACGTTTCGTACACTCTTGTTAGAATGGTAGTTTCAGGTATCGACAATCCTGACCAAATCAACACGTTCAGTGAAGATTGTAAGTTATATTTATACCAACATTCAGTCAATACTAATTTCAGTACAACTTCAACAGTTATTTCTGTTTTTCAAATAGAGCTTTGAGTAGGGATAGCCGATATATTTATTTTAGGATATATCTAATATTAGATATATTTTTTTGCATCAGCGATTTAAAAGCCTGACGTGATCGCCATTTCCGAACTATTTGACATATTGTATTTGTGCGCTTCAATTTTTTTTTTCATTGCTAAGTAGACTTCTTTTCTAGTATCTCTCGTATATAGGTTGTACATGCATCCATTTCCTCTCTAGCTTACGATTTAATGTGTGCGAGATCAGTTACGTTGAAGATCGGTTTGCTTAGTGTACAATTTCTCCTACAAAAATTAAGCTTTTCACGTAACCGCCAAAAACAGTAAAAAGAACTATATGTATATTTTTGCTCTTCTGAGACTGAAACTTTGTACTCAGAGCTAAACCCTTTGGTTCCCTGTTCCGACGCTCGTGGTAATAACGAGGGCTGAATGGATGTGGGAAAATGGAAAAATTAAAAATTTGAGGGGGACGAGATGATTTAAATTTTAATTAGGTTAGAATAGGACAAGGTGCTTCCAAAGGGCGTCTGTTATGTATTTACAAGGGTGAAATTATGCTCATGAATATGGATGCACATGCTACTAGCATTGCCGGTAAGCAGATTGACGTATCATTTGGGTATATTAGCCGAGTGTTTCCTATGCAAGTAGTCATTTATGCAAAAGAGAGAGTGTAAATCGTCCGTTTTCGTTTCAATTTTTGCAACCGAAGATTGCTTTCTGCGAGTCAATCAACCTACTTGAGGAAAATACTGTGTCTGTTTGTTTTACGACCACATGACGATTCACACCACAAACACTACATCTTGCACGGCCACTTACTTGCAAGTAAATAAGTTGTAATGATTTCGTGAATATGCAAAACTGAGTTGCCAGCCTAGAAGATGAATTGAGAAAGTTCAGTAGTGTTTTGGCGGTGATCACGAGAGATACAGTTATTCGAAATAATGGTGGACGTGCCAAAATTTAATGATATACATATGTATTGGTGATTCACTTTCACCATTTTTTCAATCGAGTCCAAGTATTTATATTTGTACATATGTATATTATGTTACCGGTGATCTGTACAATTCAGGTATTCTATACAAAACCTAGGCAATATATAGAATATTTGGGTTGCCCAGGCAATGTATGAAATATTATTTTGCATTCCATACTTTACCTAGGTAATTAATACAATTCCTAGGGATTGTATAGAGTACCTGCTGTTCCACCGGGAATGTGTAAAATAAGTAGATCTTGGTCTAAATTTATCAATGTTAACAGACATACCTATAGAATGACGGGCAAATGGAACAAGTTATAATATTTAAAATCAACTTTCTTAAAATTAACAACTAGAGTGCTTCTTAAAAATAAGCTTTATGAAAAGGGTACAAGAAAAGCACCTCTCTGTTACTACAGTAAAATTGATGTGAAACTAAAAATTGTTCTGGTTATAAGTAACATAATGTAAGTTTCTTTGCTTACAAGGACGCATTCCGTTTATTGCCTGCCGGTACGTACAGCCCGTTCCTTGCTCTCGTCTTTTACATACATTACCGGCTGCGCATTTGGTACTGCATAGAATACCTAGGCAAAATATAAAACAAATAATATTTCACGGTTTAGGTATTCTATACATTACCCAGGTATTGTATAGAATACCGGATTGTACAAATTGCCGGCAACACATATAATATATGGCTTTTCAAAAAGGTACCCTCCTCAATTATTTTTTGAACGGATTAAGCTTAAATATACAGTGATGAAGGTCAGGTACGAATTCCACGACAAGTTAACAATAACAAATTTCAAGAGTCTCGTCTTGTCTCGTCTCATCGTTTGTTATTTGGCTTTTGTCTGGCAGAATGATGTTTCTACTTCAAAATCAAATTTCAAGACAGCGACCAGACATCACGTGACATCTTATTTGCAAGCTCCTTCCTTATCAGTACTTTTTACCTCTAGAGTATAAATTTACTATCCTTCAAGATGTTGAACAAGCTTACTGTCAAAGCTAAGTGCTTTGGTGCATTGTAGGTCAGCAATTAATAAATCTAATCACCTGAACGCTTTGGAAGGGTTTATCTGAATATGCAATAATATATTTTTAAAGATATTGCTAGATTCTGATTGCCTTAATAATATGTAATATTCGAATGGTTCATTCTAAGAAATGAAGTTTAATATAACATACCATAGGAAGTTCAGAACGAAGTACAATGTTCATTTAAAAAAATGCTCAAACAGAACTTCAATCCGCCATTTTGAAATTTGTCATTATCTTTTGCGATAAAGTATAGTACTTATGTATTAGCTCCATCAGGTCGAATGTCAGCTAGCTAACTCGACTTGTTTAAAAACAACATGCTTTTTGAATATATTTGAATATACATTATCTGATCTTATTTTCATTACTAATATTCGATATTTCAAATTTCAAAGCACATTCTTCACGCTTTTAATACAAAAGTAGTTGTTGTATAATAACTGTGGATCAATATAGAGATTTGTTAACAACATGCCACTCAAAGACAGACAAAGTAGAGGAGTATATTTACGAATTAATCCGGATCTGAATCACTTACCCAGCCCAGCGTGTCCAAAACAGAACAAACAGCCATCGTTTCCATTGATAACAGCATGAATAACATCTGTTAAGGCGCTCGAACACACCTCCGTCTGTAACAAATATACACTATTTACTTATCTATTATTATGAGATTCACTTTAAACACAATCATCAGTGGGTATTTCAGTCTCTTGACTAAAAATATTACATATTGTAGAGCGGTGTTCTTTAGGCCTAGAATATGAGTTGTCCTGCTTTCTGTATCTGTGACCAGAACCAACCATGTGCAATGTAGTTTTCTGCTTTTTAGCTTCATCAGTACGGTATAGGTCTAGTCATTTGGAGACAAATGACGGAAAGCAAATAAGAAAAATGGGTCTATTGAAAGACTCAATAATGTGATGTGCAATTCTACTATAAGAGTAGAGTATTCACATGCAATTTCAGAGCAGTGCTATTATTTCTTACCAGGTTAAGATTGAAGAAAAAATGCGCTGCCAAATGTTTAATGTTTCAAAGTTATATGTCTTATTATTAGTCAACCCCAATTAACAGATTCAAGTTCTACATCCCTAGAATCAAAAATTATTATATCAGTTTCTATATACACGTACTTTCAGGCAATTACTTCCATGCATAAAGAAAGCAACTGCCTGATAACTATAAAGCAACTATAAACAATGTTCTTTAAAATAAGCAGCGGTTTCCAGATTTTCCAAATCTTTTCGACGACACTATGTCTGCGTTGCCTCCCCAACTTCCCAATCAGCAAGGCAGGGGGACACAAATGTAAAAGTCGTGTTCAATCTTTTCAAGATTTGAGATTTCTTTGAGTGAAACACTTAGCCGGAACTTTCGTATTCCCTTTAAGGGCCCCATCGATCTCCTCAGAGTATCTTTCTCAGTTTTCAGCCCTTACCTTTTTTCGGCAATGGATACCTCCGGCAATCTTATATTTTTTGTTTAGTATAATTTAAAGATAGGAAGCAGAAATATACTTTGGGCTACAAATCAATTTATAGAAGCCAGTTATTAGACATCAAGGTATCCAGGATTTTGTCTTTGTTCAGACACTTCTTACTGTACATATGTATATACAGGTGGATGTAGGAGCTCATGAGAACTTTATTTTAGTATTTGGAGATAATCTGACGTGTCTTTATCTATCTATATATATATATATATATACAGGGTGTCCCGAAAAAACTGTGCAATAATCTACCAGCGGTTTCTAGAGCTTATAATAGAAAGAAAAGTTTATATAAACATAAGTCGACAAACGTCCCCTAAGGGCGCTACGGTCTTTTAAAGGGCTCCCCTGAAGATGGTTTTTCCTTAATATTTCCGAAACGTGTTGAGATAAAGACATAAAATTTGGTATTCTAGCCTAGTTTCTTATGCTGGATTTAAAAATATTAACAATTTTAGACAGTTTTGTTTGGAAGCGTATGTAACAGGGACGGACTCAGGTTATTTTAGCCCCAAAATTTTTGTGTGATTCTATTTTTGAAATTCAATTTTAGAATTTGATAATTTAGGATTTTCTACATAAAAGAGGTACTCTTATTGAATATCGATAAATTGTGCCATTTTTGAATAAAATCGAACTAAAAAATTTGTCACATGATAGGAAATGTACTGCGAATTTAAATGAATTGTTGATTATACATAGTGATCCACGACTGCAAACAAAAGTTGTTTTGATTTGTTATGACTTATTTTGACGTTAAGCTGACATTGCTAGCAGTGTAAAATTACTAGATTAAAATCAAAATTTTTATTAAATCGATTTAAAATGCCAAAATTTACAGGCAGAGAACTGATATGCATTTTGTGTACGGGTTTTGCAATGGCGGTTCATTGGCAGCCGTAAGAGAATATCAAAGAAGATTTCCCAATCGCCTAGTACCTGGACGTCGAATGTTTACTGATATTCACCGGAATTTGTCAAACCATGGAAGTTTTCAGCACATGCAGGGCTCAGGAAGGCCACTGGGAAATCATCGTATGGATATTGCTTCAAATATGTTTGAAAATAATCCGCAAATAAGCATACGAAATGTTTCAGAAATTATGGATATACCTTGATCAATAGTAAGAAAAATTTATGAATACCTATTTGATAGTTATCTTAAAAATAATAATTTTAGATAGGAGGAATGACAATAATGCAAGGGTTACACCCTTATCATTTTAAACTGGTGCAGCATTTAACGGAGGCAGATTTTTTACCACGAATTGAGTTTTGCCAGTGGATATTAGCAAATGAAAACACTATTCCTACAATATTATGGTCGGATGAGTCAATATTTGCTGGGAATGGTGCTTTTAATTTCCATAACATGCATCACTGATCAGACGAAAATCCAAAAGTTGTTCGCCGTACAAATTTCCAACATAGATTTCCATTGAACTTATGGGCAGGAGTAATTGGGGATCAAGTAATTGGGCCTATTGTACTTACCAATCGTCTTAATTCAGAGGTGTATCTGAATTTTCTTCAGAATGAGCTCATGGATATAATACCATTGGATGTGCGCCAGCAGTTTCAAGAAAATATGTTTTCTCAACATGATGGCGCCCCTGCACATTTTGGACGCAATGTTCGAAACTGATTGAATGTCAATTTTCCAGACAGGTGGTTAGGCCGAGGAGGTCCTACAGCGTGGCCGCCACGTTCACCTGACCTAAATCCATTGGATTTCCATTTTTGGAGGTCATTAAAAGACCTAGTTTACTCGACTGAAGTAAATACTCAAGAAGATTTACTTCAAAGAATCCGTCAGGCTGCAAATGAAATAAGAAGGAAAAGGTTTTCCACTTTTCGGGCCAAGCAATCATTAGTTCATCAAGCGAGACTCCCTATCCAACAAAATGGGAATTTATTTGAACACTTATTGTAAAGCTAGTTTTTAAGTATATCCAACTGTATGTCTTCTTTTTTAAACAAATTTCAATTTCGTTCGTAGAAATATATATATTTCTTTTGCTTTTGCCTAAATGTTGGCTATGTTGCAATAGAAATATGTATTTATGTAATATTTACCAATTATTAAATTAGTTTTTTCGTTGCCATGGCTAATTATTCAACAATTCATTTAAATTCGCAGTACATTTCCTATCATGTGACAAATTTTTTAGTTTGATTTTATTCAAAAATGGCACAATTTATCGATATTCAATAAGAGTACCTTTTTTATGTAAAAAACCGTAAATTTTCAAATTCTAAAATTGAATTTAAAAAATAGAATCACACAAAAATTTTGGGGCTCCAATAACCTGAGTCCGTCCCTGTTTCATACGCTTCCAAACAAAACTGTCTAAAATTGTTAATATTTTTAAATCCAGCATAAAAAACTAGGCTAGAATACCAAATTTTATGTCTTTATCTCAACACGTTTCGGAAATATTAAGGAAAAACCATCTTCACATTTGTCGACCTACGTTTATATAAACTTTTCTTATATTATATATTGCACACTTTTTTCGGGACACCCTGTATATACAGTGCTTTCCAAAAAGTTGCTGGCAGATTGCAGCGTCAGCGTTGCTTGGCAACGGGGGGATGAGCTTTGCTATCCAGCCGGCTTCTATCTTCCTCTAACATATGTGCCTATTTACACCTCTCTCTCTCTCTCGTACACATTGAACCCAAGCCGTGAGACAAATTTGGTTCTCAGTGTAGAAGAGATGCCAATAGGCTTAGTGTGACTCGCCAAAAACCGTGAAATGAACTACAGATGTTATCGACGCTACTATTACAGGCAAAACAGTGCCTTTTATACCACAAACTCAAACCAATGATTCGCAATGAAGTACATGCCACCCACCGTACGATTGCGTGCAGAATTTGTCCGTTATACCATGTTATCGCTTGCATTTAATATATTTTTAATGATAATTTGACTAACCGGAGATAATAAAAATGATTAATACAGCCGAACCGTAACGCACCTACTCCATATTTTTCCTTGTTTCCCCCGACACAAAATTACATTTCTTATCCGGCAAAGATCTTGTTTCTGGAAAAAATGGAGTAGCTGTATCAGCGAGGCAGTTAATTAGATATGGGCCTTGGACAACCCTAGATATTACACGATTTTTTGTTGTTGGTAAATTGCATCTGTAAACGTATTTTTAGGCACAGATATATGCATACGTCATTTTAGCTTGTGGACATGACGATTTTACTGTTGATCGGCGTACATAAAAATTCGCGCCTTTGGCATCAATTGGATTTTCCCAGTTCTATTAACCTTAGGCTGATAAAAAAACGGAATAACAAAATTTATTCAAGCGTCTCACAGCAGCCGCGGTGCCCTAGTACTCAGGCTCCTGCCTAAGCGGCTGCTTCAGTATGGAAAATCGACTATATCGCCAGAATCGACGGCATCAAGCGGTCACAGTGATAACTCGACTTTCGATGCGATCTAAGATACAGTTTTTGACACAATTTTGAGCATGGAAACAACAGGATTCGTTAGAAGAGGTCCTCTTTAATAAATATAGATATTGACCATACACAAACGAGCTTTTCTTTTGAACTGGAGTTCAGTTGCAACCCGGTTCCAAGCGCTGGTATCGCAACAGTCGATTAAGTTATAACTAAGTTAATTCGACCACAAAACAGGTCACAAAGGTGCATGAACCATTTAAAGAAGGATATACGTTTGCCTTTTTTCCAAAGTGGGGAATAAAAGCAAAGTAATTAAGAAGTATATGAGGCATTTATTACTAATAGGTCGAAGGATATAAACATATATTTATCTCACCTTGTGGTAAAATTGTATTGAATTTGTCTTATAAAATCTCATGAGTCTGACCTTGATTTATCAATAACCGAAAGTCCTTTCCTTTCCCAAAGTCCAAATCAAGGTCAAAATAGGTCCTGCTTTTTATTTATTAGACAAACAATTTGACATTTACTGATTTTTCAGATTGACAGAAGCAGGCTGTATTTATTAGTTTCCCATAGCTGGCAAGATGTGTATGAATTACAGTAAAATCCGACTTCGTATTGCATGTATGTGATAGGAAAAAATCCTGACTGCGATTGTTGTCTCTTTATAAATTGCAGAGAGAGAGAGAGAGAGAGAGAGAGAGAGAGAGA